GGTTTCCATTAGAGTAACAAATATCTTTAGACTACTGGCTTATACAGCAAAAAGCTGTTTTGCTTATAGTGTGTAAACCTCCAGTCCTGGACAGTTTGACTCTGTTGCTTTTGACCTGTGGTAAGGCAGCACCATTTGATTGAGTGCATGGTTAGCAAAACCAGCCCTCTCATGGTTAGGAAGCACAGGCAAAGAGACAGACCTGGGTTCCCTTGATCCATCCCTTCAGAGGCACGACCCCAATGGCATAGGGTCTCCCACAAAGTCTTGCTTATTAAAAGTCTTACCTTCTCCCAATAGTGTTGCCTTGACAACAAAGATTCAACAAATAGATCATTGGAGAATACCTAAGCTTCAGTCCAAAGCACATGCTAGAGACACACTAATATACTCCAAGTGTCCACATTACAAAATGTCAGGTAGTTCTGGAGTTTGGTGGGAATCACCAGCATGTGCCAGGGAAGGCAGGGGTGAGTGGAAGCAGATGGAGATGCTGGTTCTGGACTTGGCAGCAGTGTGCAGAGCAGACAGGAGAGGAAGGGACTCCAGGACCTGGACAAATTTGGAGACACCTGTGAAGGGATGGCATGTTGGAGAACCCACACTCTACTCCAGGAGAGAAATCTCTACAGTGTGCAGAGCTCAATCTGCACCGAGGCAGGAATAGATGAAGATTGAGTAGATTGCAGATTTGGGGTCAACAGCAAACAGAACTGTCTGAATGTGCATGCGCGGAGATTTCAACACAGAAACACTGTTACAGTGAACATTTAAGATATTTAACTGGAAACAACTCAAAAGGACACAGCTGTGGTGCCGCCTAGTGGCCAGAGTCAGCATTTTCCCTCTGAGAGTCTGAACAGCTTACTCTGTAGTCTGGAAAGTGAGACCAAGTCTAGGAACTTGAAGGGATGGTATCTGTCTGAGCTATGAATATTTTAATTACTGGATGTGATCGCTTTATTTTTATCCATTCCTAGGATATCTAACTTAAACTGATAATCCCAAGCCCTCTCTGCAATGAGGGAAAAACTGCACCTGGGAATATATAATGCTAGAGGAGACACAATCACATCCTCACCCACATTGGACACATACACTCAAACTAACAAAACATAGTTTTATCCATTTTGTTCCTCCATAATATTGGATACAATGCATGCTTTTCCAAAGATCTGTATATCCAAAATACTTGCGTTAATCTGCTCAAAATTATCCTGTGAATTTTTTAATTATGAAATTCTTGTTGTCTTCACTGCAGAAATTTAAAAACTAGAGAAAATGAAGTTATCGAGGGAAATCATTTTCTCAGTGGTCCAGTTTTCTTGTGAGTCAAAGATGTCTCTTGCTCATATAATGGTGTACACTCTTCTGATACATCACTGTATCCCACAATCATTGTGTCTCCCCACATATATGCACTATTTTCCACTAGTAGAACTACAGCAAAGAACTTCCACTGAAGCTATTCTTTTCCATCTAATATTCTCACGATTCCTCAGGAACTCATGAGTGCTTGTGTTTTGACATATTAAAATATGTTGTATGAACTGCTCAATGAAATCACTACCTATCCTTCCGATTAGTAAGTGATCTCACAGATAATAGATAATAACCCAGTATTTAGGATTCATCTGCAAATGTTTCTCCCTGGTGTTGACAAAATTCAGTGTTTTTATACAGTTAGAATGCAGTTTTTTTAAGAAAACTTTTTTTTATTCTTTGTGGATTTCACAACACATATGTCCATCCCATTCATCTCTGTGCCTTCGTATCTGCCCTCAGCCCTTGCAACCATCCCCACTAAATAAAATATAAGAGAAAAAAAAAAGAGAAAGAAATAGGGAGAAAAAAATCTTGTGGTGGAACCTGTAGTGTGGTCCTGTGAATCACACAGTATATACTTGTGTCCATATATCTTTACTTCCAAGAGTACATTGCAAAGAGTCATTGGTCTAGTTCAAGGCCTCTGACTTTTGCTACACTATGGATGCTGATCCCTCATGGTGCTCTGCTTGGATATCCTCACCCTGTCATGGAGATCCTGCAGCTTTGGATCTGCAGGTCTGGCTTCTTCATGTGCTCCAGATTATAGATGGGTGGATGTTGGGGTGGGCCAAGTCACAGCTCTGGTTCTGGGCTTTGGTTGTTGCTGGGTTATCTGCCAGCTCTCCCCTGTCCTCACCACCAGGGTGAGCTCTCCGGCATTGCCCCAGTTAGTTCACCCTATTCAGGAAGGAGCAAGGGGCAGGACCAGTTCTCCTGTTTTCATGACCCCAGGGTTGGCTCTCCCACACCTACACCACCAGGGTCAGCTCTACTGTGTTGCCCAGGCAGGTACAGGGGCACCCTCCCTTGTGTTACAGCTGGTGAGGGGCAGGGACAGCTCTCTTGCTCTTAGGACCCCAGGGCCAGCTCTCCCTCCTCCACAGGTGGTGAGGGGCAGGGTGGAGGGGAAGGCATCTCTCCCTCTCACATCCCATCTTATGGCAGATGAGGGGTGGGGCTAGATCTCCCATGCTCATGTTCTTGGGGTGTCTCACTAATGCCCCTGTCAACAGGGTCAGCTCTACTGTGCTGCTCAGGTGAGATGTAGGGTCAAAATCATCCCACAAAATCGGTTTCATTATGGAATTTTCATAAACTTATTTTTAATTTTACAGGAAATCACAGTTAAGAAACTTTGATTTCTAAAGAGATCTTGGACTGTTATTGTACTGAAAAAAATAAAGGCTGTGGTATTTTTAAGGTCATACTCTTTTATATTGTGATATTAATGTGAGCTATTGGGGATCAACAAGGAAAGGTTATAGTTCAGTAGTCATGTTTGTGTGGCAAGTTGACAGGGTCAACTGCACTGGTTAGTTTTTTTGTTAACTTGACACAAACTGAAGTCCTGAAGGAAGAGAAAACCATAGATGAAGAACTGTCTCCATCAGACTGACCTGTAGGCAAGTCTCTGGGGCATTTTCTTGATTAATGGCTGATGAGGTAGGGCCCAGACCAGTGTGGACAGTGCCTCCTGGGCAACTGGTCCTGGGTTGTACAAAACAGGTAGCTCAAGAGTCATAGAAAGTCACTAAGCACCTTTTCTGCCCCTGCTCCTGTTCAAGTTCCTGCCCCGACTTCCCCAGTGATGGACTGAGATTGGGACATGTAAGTCAAACATACCTTTTCCCCCCTCAGTTGCTTTTGGACAGTTTTTATCACAGCCATGTAGTGGCAACATAGTACACTCCCTTAGGTTATTTTTTAAATCTATTGAAAACAAAGTATCGAGAGCACTGTTTTGCACTAGGAATTTCCAAGAATATCCTTCACATTGTCAATATGACAACAATGAGTTCCAAATTCTCTCTTCATTGTAGGGTCTAGTTTTCACCTTAGGGTGCAGTGTTTCTGACAGAAACATGGCACCCAAGGAAGGATGGAGGAAAGCGAGAAAATATGCCAATATTGATCCAGTTGCATCTTCCACAGTATTCTGCCACTTTAAACACGCTGGTCAGACTGTACTTCTGAGAGTGTGAGATCCCAGATTATCCAGAGGCTATATAGTAAGAGCCATATGGAAAAAAAAACAAAGAGAAAGTTCAAAGAAACAAGTAGATCTAATTTTAATATTTTATTTAATACAAAGTGTCAAAAACTCCACAATTTTTAACTTGGAAACAATGTAAGTAAATCACTCATTACACTGGCATATTAGTAGGTTTTTGAAATTTTGTGCATTATATGATGATATAAGCATTATGGAAAATATGAACAAATTTGAAATGTATCACAAAAGAAATATGACACGTTAATATCAGTATACTTTAACATGCTTCTTCCTACTAACTTGGAAATACAGTGTTACCACCAAAAAACTTAATAAAAAACAAATGTTAACTGTTTTGCCAGTATTCTTATTATAATGCCTATAAAATATAGTTTGATATATTTACCAGTATCACTAGTAAAAACAAAATTCAATTACTTTTATTTGTGGTCAGACTGAAACCGAGTATGACCTCACTTAAAAAAGAAAACAATATAAAGATCTAAGCCATTGCTTTTACTAATTTATTTCAGTAAGAAAACATTATGTGTAAATGGTTACTTCGAGTCTACACTATTTGTTAGTCAGTCAGTGAAATGAAGTTTTGGCATTTCAAGATGTGGAAGGAACAAATCCTAATTTTATATCTTTACCATGTCTTTGCAACACAGTATGCTGTCTCAAGAAATTAACAATACAAGTAAGATATTTTTATGTGTCCATGTTCATGTGTGGAAGAAGGTGCCTGCACTTGCTTCTCTCTCTCTTTCTCTCTCTCTCTCTCTCTCTCTCTCTCTCTCTCTCTGTGTGTGTGTGTGTGTGTGTGTGTGTGTGCACTCACGCACATGATCACATGCATGCCAAAAGTCAGTATGTGTTTTTTTCTTCTACACATATTTTCTGAGGCAGGATCTCTCACTGAACCTCGAATCCCTAATTTGCTAGAATGTCTGGCCACATGGCCCCAAGGCTATTCCTTCCTCCACCTTTTCACATTGGAGTGACAAGTGTGCACTTGGATGCTCAGCTTTTTATACAAATGCTAGGTTTGGATCTGAGCACAGGTGGGCTTGTGTGGTAAG